TTTTGATATTCAGCTGCATGAGCTGCTTGTAAATTTTGGAGACTAATCCTTTGTCAGTTGCTTCATTTGCAAATATTTTCTCCCATTCTGAGAGCTGTCTTTTCGTCTTCTTTATGGTTTCCTTTTAAAGCTATATTTTAAAAGGTCCAACTACTAATATACCTTTTTAAAGGGGGATACTATCACTTCCTACTCCAAGCACCCTAAATATCTATTTAATTTCACAAATGACTAGGTTAAATTCAGTTGCTTCTTGCTTAAGTGGAGATATTTTTCAAATGTGTTATACCAACTAGCAACTGATACCAAATTATCTATGAAGAAAAAATTGGGCAAACGATTACACTGAATTAGCTTGGTGGAAAAACCAAAGATTCCTGGTTGGACAGTGAGTGGATCTTTTCCTCCAATCTCAAAACAATTGGTTCTAAGGGCATAATCCAATTATCTCCTCCAAATCTCTTCCAAATCAAGGCCTATGTTGAAATATTCATTTTTCCTAAATTTCAAAACATAACAAATAAAATATTTACTCTTTATCATGACAGTAACAGCTATATCAACATATAATCTTGATGTGCTGTGTCAATCATTTTAGCTTTGAGGTCTCTTTCCAATGATCTCATTCACAGAATCTGTATTTTAAAGTCAATTATTCAAGGAATGCTTTATTTTTCTTTTTGGTTGGCTTCTTTTTCAATAGCGTCTCTTGAATGTATAAACACAAGGGCAAAGAAATTAAAAGGCATAATCATATTCCTTAAATGATTGGTTATTTCCTCTTCACTATTTAACCAGAAGCTGTCTAGGTATTCTGGTATTCTTACCTATTTTAAAGTAATATTACATAAAAATCCAGGTAGTAGAAATCATATTTTGATATATTACACACTCATTCTCATTCATCTTCAGTCCCTTTTTCTCTTCCCACTCTCTTTGGAATTTCCCACTTCTGGCATATGCCCTACTCACAAAAGGCCAGGTCAATGGATTTCCATTTAAAAAGTGAAAGAAAAGTTTATTGCTTAGTAAGTTTGATAGTACAAAATACAACCAAGAGATATAAATACACTCTGAAAAAATAAGTTCTAACATACTGTGCCACTTTAAGAAACTAAAAAATCAAACATATAAATATATGTAATATCTGATATTAAATTTTTTATTTTAAAAGCATTTGCTTTGATAAGGAAGGAGGACAGAAAGGACAAGATAGAGGAAAATAAAGAAGAAGACAAAGTAGCAGCTCAGACTGAAGGTTTATATAGCCCAGTCCCTGGAAAATAGTAAATGATCAATAAACATTTGTTGAATACATGCGTGAATGAACAAGCCTGATTTCACTATCATTTCATTACCTATATCCACTTTAATTTACTAGCATCGCATCCATATTATGGCTTTTTATTGGCTCTTGAGCAGCAAAAAGCAAAGTTTGGGAATCCTTCAAATATCTAAGGGACATATTATGGTCAATTAAGCAATTCTGGTTAGTAAATATAAGGAACAGAGAATGAATTAATATAATAAAAGGATATGAGATCAAGGATAACACTGTTTAATTGAAAATAAAATAATTATGTAACAAACTAAATGGGAAAAGAATTTGAAAAAAGAATAGATACATGTATAACTGAATCACTCTGCTGTACACCTGAAACTAACACAACACTATTAATCAACTATACTTCAATATAAAATAAAAAGTCTTCTAACAAACAAAAGTCCAGGACCAGATGGATTCACAGGCGAATTCTATCAAACGTTTAGAGAAGAGCTAACACCTGTTCTTCTGAAACTGTTCCAAAAAATTACAGAGGAACACTCCCAAGCTTTCTACGAGGCCACCATCATCACCCTGCTATCAAAACCAGACAAAGATATCACAAAATAAGAAAATTACAGGCCAAAGCGCTGATGAACATGGACACAAAAATCCTCAACAGAATACTAGCAAACTGAACCCAACAACACATTAAAAGGATCATACACCACGATCAAATGGGATTTATCCCAAGGACGGAAGGATTCTTCAGTATATGCAAATCAAACAATGTGATACACCATATTAACAAACTGAAGAATAAAAACCATATGATCATCTCAATAGATGCAGAAAAAGCTTTTCACAAAATTCAACACTGATTTATGATAAAAACTCTCCAGAAAGTGGGCATAGAGGGAACCTACCTCAACATAATAAAGGCTGTATACAACAAACCCACAGCAAACATCATTCTCAATAGTGAAAAACTGAAGCGTTTCCTCTAAGATCAGGAAGAGGACAAGGATGTCCACTCTCACCACTACTATTCAACACAGTTTTGGAAGTCCTAGCCACAGCAATCACAGAAGAAAAAGAAATAAAAGGAATCCAAACTGGAAAAGAAGTAAAACTGTTGCTGTTTGCAGATGACATGATACTATACACAGAAAATGCTAAAGACGCCACCAGGAAACTACTATAGCTAGTCAATGTATCTGGTAAAGTTGCAGGTTACAAAATTAATGCACAGAAATCTCTTGCATTCCTAAACACTAACAATGAAAGATCAGAAAGAGAAATCAATGAAACAATCCCATTTACCATCACATCAAAAAGAATAAAATACCTAGGAATAAACCTTCCTAAGGAGGCAAAAGACCTGTACTCAGAAAACTGTAAGATATTGATGAAAAAAATCAAAGACGACACAAAGAGATGGAGAGATATAGCATGTTCTTGGATTGGAGGACTCAATATTGTGAAAATGACTGTACTGACCAAAGCAATCTACAGATTCAGTGCAATCCTTATCAAATTACCAATGGCATTTTTCACAGAATTAGAACAAAAAATTTCACAATTTGTATGGAAACACAAAAGACCCCAAATAGCCAAAGGAATCCTGAAAAAGAAAAATGGAGCTGGAGGAATCAGGCTCCTGGACTTCCGACTATACTACAAAGCTATAGTAATCAAGACAGTATGGTACAGGCACAAAAACAGAAATATAAATCAATGGAACAGGACAGAAAGCCCAGAGATAAACCCACACACCTATGGTCAACTAATATATGACAAAGGAGGCAAGGATATACAATGGAGGAAAGACAGTCTCTTCAATAAGTGGTGCTGGGAAAACTGGACAGCTACATGTAAAAGAATGAAATTAGATCACTCCCTAACACCATACACAAAAATAAACTCAAAATGGATTCAAGACCTAAATGTAAAGTCGGACACTATAAAACTCTTAGAGGAAAAAACAGGCAAAACACTCTTTGACAGAAATCGCAGCAAGATCTTTTTTGACCCACCTCCTAAAGTAATGAAAATAAAAACAGAAATGAACAAAAGGGAACTAATGAAACTTAAAAGCTTTTGCACTGCAAAGGAAGCCATAAACAAGATGAAAAGACAACCCTCAGAATGGGAAAAAATATTTGCAAACAAAGCAATGGACAAGGGATTAATCTCCAAAATATACAAACAGCTCATGAAGCTCAATATCAAAAACACAAACAACCCAATCAAAAACTGGGCGGAAGACCTAAAGGGACATGTCTCCAAAGAAGATATACAGATGGCCAACAAACACATGAAAAGATGCTCAACATCACTAATTATCAGAGAAATGCAAATCAAAACTACAATGAGGCATCACCTCACACCAGTCAGAATGGCCATCATCAAAAAATCTAGAAACAATAAATGTTGGAGAGGGTGTGGAGAAAAGGGAACCCTCTTATACTGCTGGTGGGAATGTGAATTGGTACAGCCACTATGGAGAACTGTATGGAGGTTCCTTAAAAAACTAAAAATAGAACTACCATATGACCCAACAATCCCACTCCTGAGCATACACCTGGAGAAAACCATAATTCAAAAAGATACATGTACCACAATGTTCACTGCAGCTTTATTTACAATAGCCAGGACATGGAAGCAACCTAAATGTCCATCAACAGAGGAATGTATAAAGAAGATGTGGTAGATATATATACAATGGAATATTACTCAGCCATAAAATGGAATGAAATAGTGCCATTTGCAGAGACGTGGATGGACCTAAAGACTGTCATACAGAGTGAAGTAAGTCAGAAAAACAAATATCGTATAATATTGCTTATATGTGGAATCCAGAAAAATGATACAGATGAACTTATTTACAAAGCAGAAATAGAGACACAGACGTAGAAAACAAATGTATGGACACCAAGGGGGAAGGGGGAGTGGGATGAATTGGGAGATTGGGATTGACACATATACATTACTATGTAAAAAACAGATAACTAAGGAGAACCCACTGTATAGCACAGGAAACTCTACTCAATGCTCTGTGGTGACCTAAATGGGAAGGAAATCCAAAAAAGAGGGGATATAGGTATACGTATAGCTGATTCACTTTGCTGTACAGAAAAAACTAACATGACATTGTAAAGCAACTATACTCCAATAAAAATTAATTTTTAAAAATGAAAATAAATAAAAATAAAATAAACTCCTAGTTTTGTTGCTTTAGGGTCCATTGTGAGAACTGCCACCATTTGAGAGGTAAAAGGTTTTGTGTATACCAACTAGAATAGCTTGAATCTGTAGAATGGCTAAACTATAAAATATAGAAACTGATCATACTTCCATGTATATAAAATAACTAATTAGCCAAGTAGGTAAGTATATCTTAGTTAATATCTTTTGTGGGTATATTTAGACAAATTACTGTAATGCAGAAGTAAAAGTTATAATTAATTTATCCAGAAACATAAACTGGTATTTTTGAAGTGCTTCAAAAATTTTAAACCATGTCCTCTCTTGAAATAATGTAAACTTTCCTCTGAAGCTGTATAAATACCATACTCTTAGCAAGTCTTTTCCATGGCTAGTAGACAGACAATATTTGGCTCAGTCTCTATCCAAAGCATCACAAATTTTGAACTATAATGTTCAAATACAACAACTGTTTTAGAACTATGTTAGAATTTTATCATAGATCCCAAGGGTTTGAATGTTTGCTTACCTCGGACTTTAAAATATTTCACATGGTTTGCCATAGCCTCTGTAACATTTTCATCTGGGCAGGTTTTCACACCATTAGGAAACAGAGTAGATCGCTTTCTTCTGAGCAACCACTGTCTCTCAGTTCCTCTGTGGTCCATAGGTTGTTTCTTTTCGATAGACAGAGAAGAGTCTGTGGATTCTGAGTCAGTCAGGAGAAAAGAAACTGTACTCTTGGGTTCTTGGCTCTCTTCTAAAGATAAGTAGGTTTGTGCTACAGAGTGAAAGCATAAACAAAGCTTCTGATGATGAATGGAGACATAGAATGAAAGGTAACAAATGAAGAAAAACTGACATTTGCACCACATTTGGATTTTGAACTCAATGCTCGAATTATAGACATGTGTGCTTGAGGGGAGAAGTAAAGCATTCAATTTTTTCTCCATTTAATTCCTAGTCCTTTATTTCAAGATTGTTAGTTATTGAAATCAAGTATACATCCAATTTCAACACAAGAAATAAGAGGAAGTAAGCTTTAACCAAGAATTACTAATGAAGAGGAAAACCAATATTATTGGAGAGATTTTCATACAGTTTAAATGAAGCAATATCAAAGACTAGAGTAATATTTGATTCAATTTCTTACAGCAGTCATATCAAATAATGTTATTTTTAGAGAAAATATACTTCAGACCTAAAGATAAAAAATAATGTAGATTTTTAAATACCTGTTAATGATGGAAGGTTCCCTTCTATCAGGACAAATATCAGAATACCCAGAGAAATCTTCCCAAAATGAGGAAACATAATCATTTGAGCCAAAACCAAGAGAGAGGCCAAAATCCTTAATTGAGCACCCAAAGGCCTGAAACTTCCAGTAACAAATTTTTACAGAAAAGGTCTAATATTTAAACAGTTTATGTTCAAAAATTGACAACCATTCCAAAATCATTATAAATTGGCTAAATAAAAATGGTGTCCTTTCAAAGTACCTCTCACTTCTTTTCTGAAATAACCAGCATGCTATGAAAGCAGGAGAGATAAGCTAATTAGGACAGATGGGGAGAGACAATTTCTTTAATCTAGCCAGCTAAGCTCTTTATTAACACTCTCCTTGCCTTTAATAAGCACTCCACTTAAAAATGTTTCCAAAAATAAAAATAATGTTACACATATAATTCACTGAATTTTACAACTTTTCTCAATCTATTAGTCAAACCTGATAGATTCACATGTCCTCTGGGTTCTTCTACAACCTATGATTTTTAAGCATGAAACGCCCAGACTGACTATACCTGTCTATGTCCGAAATACAGAGCTACACACAAAATAAAGTTAGTTTTCTTGGTGCCGTTTCTTGTAAATTTCCCTCGATTAAAAAATTTGAAAATCTTTCACTATAACCACTTACTTCTCCTTCCTTATCTATAAAATAGAATAGGAATAGTAAAGCTAACTCATGATAGAGATATTGTGAGCATTAAATTAGTTAACACACAGAAAATGCTTAGAAAAGTACCTGGCACCTACTAAGCACACAATATAAATGGTAGCTACATAATAATAACTTTGTTGCTTAATTTGCTATTACACATGAGGCCCAGTATCTTTATCTACATGAGTAATTCTTAACCAAGAAAGGACACTTTTTTTAATCTTTACCACAATGGGGGACCAGATACAAATTTTGTATTAGGGCAGTTGTTTTTATCAAATAAATCTAGTAGAAAGGAATTAAATTAGTCAAAAACCCTGTGGAAGCTAGGATTTACTATCAAACAGCAATGAATTTATATCTTATGTACCTCTGGTGAAGTTCTCTGGAAAAAAAAAAATGTTTTGTAAAGATCTAAAGCACATTTCTCTTCAGAATCCTAAACTAGCCCTGATCCTGATTTCTCCAGTTGCCAAAAGGGAGGACCTCAGTTGTAAGAGAACAGACCACCTGGGTGGGTGCAAACCACACCAGCATAAGAAAGCCTCATACACCTAGAACCAAGGCTTTTAACAGCCCCTGGGCAAAGTTTGCAAATTTCCAAAAGGACAAGGTTAGTTACAAGAGATTCGACAGAGGGAAGAAGGCACCCAGGTTTTCCAAAAGAGTTTTATAAAGTTCTGGTCGAGGAGGGCTTCGGGGTATGCATGTCTACTCACAGTTCTCCCAGTCCAGACAGTTCAACAATTAGAGGTCATTTTCACAATAAAAGATATATATATATAATACAACTGACATTTCACATTCATTTTAGCTTGTACTTTTCCAAAGAAATAGTATTTTTTTTTTTAATAAATGAATCTGGAGTTTAGTGAGGGAAGCAGGGCTATAGGAATCTATACCATATTGTTGTTATAAAGCCATGGGACTGGTTGAGATTACATAGAGAAAGAATATAGACAAAAGGAGACTAAGAAGGAACAGCCAGTGATGAAGAATTTTGGAGACTGTGGCATAGAGAGAAAAATGTTTCAAAGAAAAAAGAATGGTCAAATATTGGTAAGAGATTAACTATGATTTGGACAGAGACTTAATCATTAGATTTGACAAGATAAAAATGTTTGGCGACTTTTATAAGAGATATTTCATTGGTGATGCAGATAAAAGCCTGATTGAAAGAAAGAAAACACAAGATAATTTCCTATTAAGAAAGGGCTTAAGCTTGGTGTTAAGCTAAAAGTAATTAAAGCATAAATTAATAACTTTATATGACTAAAAAGTAGGTGACAGTGGAAAGATGAGGATAGAATGTAGACTGGAATCAAATTAGAAAGGGCTCTGTATGATAAGTCTAGACCTATTTTCCCCCCTAACACACATACACACAAAAGCTGATTTTAAGAGGTATTAAACTTTTTCTTAAAAAAAAGAGCTACCATTTTTTTATCCCAAGAGTTGTGAGAAACAGTATTATCTTCTCTAAGAAGGCTTTCCCTGTCTAGTGACAACCCTCTTACTACCTCTCTACCACCTCTCACTATCTCTCTTTCTCACTCTCTCTCTCTCTCTCTCTCTCTCTCTCACACACACACACACACACACACAAACCCGAAGGCTGAACACCCTCCTGTGCTCCCAAAAAACTCTACGATTGTTTCTAACAGGCATATTAAAACTGTTCATATGTTCATTTCTCCCATTAGACTATAAATGACTTAGGAATAAGAGCTGTCATTCCGTTTTCTCTACCTTGTACATTGCCTGCTAGTAGTAGATGCTCAAAAAATGTTCCCTGAACTATCAAAATTACCACGTCTGCTAAAACAGAAAAATTAATCTAAGCATCAATTATATGACATGCACTGAGTAACATACAATTTAAAATCTATTTCTAAGAATGGCTCACGTTTCTTAAGGAAAAAAATTACACCTCAATTTAATGAATTGGAAACATGTTTAATATAAAATGTTGATATTCTCAAAGCATTATTTCCATATGAATTTAGGAAAACGAATTTTAAACAATCTTTAAAACATGGTAAAGAACAGAGGTGTCTCTGAAAAACATACAAACAAAAAAGTTAAGAAGTCACAAGGAGATGTATTAGATACTTGCTTTCCCAAAATTAGATATACAAAATAATTGTCATCTAAAAAATCCCCTCCCCCCACACAGAAGTTGGGAATGAAACATGTAATTATAACCATCTTTATAGGAAATCTCCAAAGGACAAATATCTTTAACAATATAAAGATGATGACAAGATTAACAGAAACTTAAGGACACTAAGGCTTAACTGACAACCTCAATTCACAAGATTTTGAAATAAAATGTTCCGACTTTTAGCTTCATCTTAAATTGCCTTTGCTTCACTGCTTTATATACAGTAACAATGTAAATCTAAGAGATGCTTAAAACAGAAGATTAAAAAACATTTTTCTTATCTGAGAAAATACAATATAATCATCCCCTCAAAATATTCCTGATAACATTAGAAAGTTATGAAGTGTTTAATCATATGTAATACCACCATCATCACATCAATTCAGAACTGTTACCTGAACGTTTAACAAAAACTTATGCTCCATGGGGATCACATGTCCTTATAAAAACACAAAAGCAATGAGAGCAATCTGGCTTTTGCAGATGAATACTGGGTAAACAGCTATAAAATTATGTATTTAGTCCTAACGATTAATATAGAAGACTTTGAGCATATTTTTTTAATTAAAGTTATGAAGTCACCAATTTTATCTTCTATACTTACAGAAACTGTGTACATATATTCTGGGATGTCAGAATAGGACAGAAGTCAATATTTATATAGCTATACCTCAAATAAACTAAGTTGAGCTACATATACAATTTTTAAAAACCTATTTTGGATAGCTAAATTTTTCTTCCAAATTTCACTCTGAATGAATGAACTAAATTCTCAGATCCCCACACATGACATCAAAAGAAATGGAAAACAAATAACAATTAGAATAGAGTAATGGTTCCACTTAGCAACTGAGAAAAATAAGCTGCGCATTGAATGAGTGAACTTTTATCACCTTCCTCACATTATGTCTTCTCTCACACTATACAGAAGGGATGCCGTAAATGGCATTTTCTGAAGCCTTGATACTAAATTCTTTAAAAAAAAAATACACAGTATTCATATTGCATGCTTGAGCTGCAAAGAATAGAATTACAATATAATGTGACTTGTCAACGAATTTGACAAGCAATGGGGCTGGCACCAGGGAGGACCTAACTCCCTTCAACTCCCAGTTATGTGGAAGTACAGATCACATAGTTTTATTATCTCTAAAAACATTCCCACATTACATATGCTATTGCATAATCCAAGCATATTTAATCAGAAAAATATCAAATATTTACGAAATTTTAATTTCTATCTAATGACTTTATATCACCCCCATTTCCACTCCATCTATGAGATCCTAACAATTCTAATATTATATCTTATATATTTTAAATAATGTACAGTGACTTATAAAACTACTGCAAGTTATTTTCTTCTCTGTGAGCTGGCTAACACAAATGCTGATAAGCAGCTTTCCAGTAATCGTATAGAACATCTGTGTCATGTTTGTACAGATTAACTAGCTACTGCTGCCCTTCTGTTGCTGTAAATGAAGTTTCAAAATGAGCTCTCGAATATCTTCCCGTTTGGTCTTTATTACATGACGAGGAAACCATTTCTCCAAATGAATTGGAAGCTCAAAGTTAACAATAGGATCCTAATGAGAGAAAAGACAGAGTGCAATCACTTTAGCAGTATAATTCAAATTTGTTTTAAGCTCATTTTTATAAGAAATGAGAAATTGCTAACTTTTTTAAATAACAGCTTTACTGAGATATATTTCACATAACATACAATTTGCCTAAAGTATTCAACTGAATGATTTTCAGTATATTCAGAGTTGTGCAACCATCACCACAATCAATTTTAGAACATTTTCATTAAACTGCTAACTTCTGAACATCAAAATTAAACACCATATGTTCTGCTACAATGCATGTTTAAGTGAATTAGTGCAAAGAGAATTAGTAAACAGAGAATGATTCAGTACAATGCAGAAGTCAGGCTGGTCTGAACACAATTTTTTCCAACATGTTAATATTTTGAAACTATTGAATCGAAGAGGAAGCCTTAGCAGTAAATGAAGAATCTCACATAAAAAATAGAAAATCCTGCAGAAGTACCTTCTTTTAGTCCACGAAATAGCCAATTTAGTGGCTTGATATATTTTCCATTATGTTAAGCTTAATAAGGAAGTTGCAAGTTGCAACTGCAAAGACAATTCTGCCTGTGTTTAAAAAAATAAATGAGTAACTGCTGAATAAGACTACCCCTAGATAATGTTT